TCACTCACGAGGTCTACTAGAGACCAATGTCCTTCCACATGGTATTCTACAGATGAGTATGTATTATTGATTGACGGGAAAGAGTCTCAATGTTATGCAAAAGCAATGGAAGATGAAAACAAGGCAAATTGGGTTGATGCTATGGAAGATGACATGCAGTCATTTGACAGCGTGCCATCAACACTACAAAATTAATAAACCTTACTCCTAATTATTAATCAGTAGATAGTGTGAGTAAAGGTCGATCCCATAGGGAAGTAGTTGAATCTAAATTCCAATTGTTTAAAATTAAATCTTAGATAACCAAACTAACCTAAATAACCAAAATATAAACTGGGGGGTTTGTAAAATCAACGAAAGTAATTAATTGCCAAAACAAAATTATAAATGAAAATCAACATAAAAACAACTTCAGTTCTCGGTTCAATCTCATCCTCACACAATCAATGTATATTCTCAATTGCAACGCAATCCTACCCTTTCATGGAAGTATCAACCCTGGGTAGTAACAAGCTCTACTACCCAAAATTCCCCTTAATTCTGACAAATGAACCATGCTCTTCAATAGTCTCTAACAATTAAAGACAACCTAGAACAAGCTCTCTAGATTTAATGTAATGGTTGCTTTAAGTTCCAATAAAATAAGTTAATCTAAGCAACAATCTCACAAGCTTGGATTATTAAACTTAGGTTTTGTTATTCAAGTAATAAAATAGAAAGTTTATCCATAATCTTCTATTAGAAATTGCTATTGCGTGATTAGGAAAAGATCAATTACGTAATACAATCCATAATTCTAGTAATCGATATCAATTCTATCAATCTAGTCGGTTTGAAGTAAATTAAACGAATCAAATATCATATATTCCATTAAAATAGAATAACATAAATCAAATCCATAGAAAGGTAAGAAATTACATTACTTTATCAATTATACCATTAATATGTGTTAGGAATTGAAATTCCCTTAAACTGAATTGAAAGAGTTTAACCAAACGTCGTAAATTCATAACAAGTGTTTTTGAATAAAATCTCTTGTGTGTGTGTTTCTTCTTCCTCAAGAACCTAATGTTCTATTTATAGCCCCTTCAAATAACCCTAAAAACCTATGTACAGCCTCCTAAAAGGTTTACAACTCAAATTCCTAAATTGTTGGCATTGAGTCCTACTCTTTCCAAAACAGGCTGGCTAATTTTCGGCTGGAAATTATGAGCTGACTTCAGGTCAAAAAAAAAAAAAAACTGAATTTGGGCCTAGGCTCTTCATGAAAGTTGTAGCCTTAGTTATAAGCTTTCCAGAGAATCTTCAAGCATCTTAATTGGACTTCTAGAACTCAAGTTATAGCCCAATTACTAATTGGCGCCCAAGCTGTAATGGGATTGGATCTTCTGACTTCGATGTAAACTTTGAATACTCAAATATACTAGGATTAAAACGTGCAAGCCCAATTTAAAAAGCTCAGGACGTCTACTTCAAACCTCAAGAATACCTCTTTCTCATTTTGGAAATCTAAGATTGTCAAAGTCTCCACTGAACCTTCAGAGGTCGAATTTGCCAATGTCTGAAAACTGCACATTATGCTCCACTTTCATTCGCGTGCCTCCATTCCTTTCCTAATTCGAAAAACATATTAATCAGCTCAATTAATCACAAAATATATCACAAATATTGATATAAAGGAATTGAAAATATCAATTATTGAACACTTATCATCATTGCATGACAATCACACCTTTGAGTTGTTAAAGTTGCCTAAGGGTAAGACAACTTTGAAAAACAAGTGGGTCTACATGGTGAAGCAAGAAGAACATACTTCACTACCATAGTACAAAGCCAGATTAGTTGTCAAGGGATTCAGTCAGAGAAAAGGCGTTGACTTTGATGAGATTTACTCTCCTATTATGAAATTATCTTCTATACATGTGGTTCTAGGCTTAGCGGTTAGCCTGGACTTAAAGGTTGAGCAGATGGATGTGAAAACTGCATTTCTTCATGGTGATTTGGGTGAAGAGATTTACATGGAATAACCAAAGGGTTTCCAGGTTCAAGGAAAAGAAGACTATGTCTGTCATTTAAAGAAAAGCCTCTACAGTTTGAAGCAAGCACCTAGACAATGGTATAAGAAGTTTGAGTCAATTATGGGAGAGCATGGTTACAAGAAGGCTACTTCTGATCATCGTGTATTTGGGCAAAAATTCTCTGATGATGATTTTATTATTTTATTGCTCTATGTTGATAGTTGGCAAGAACTCTTCTAAGTTTGATGAAAGAAGCAGTTGAGTAAGTCATTTACTATGAAGGACTTAGGGCAAGTAAAGAAAATTCTTGGCATTCGAATTTGTCAAGAAAGAAAAGAGAAGAAATTGTATATGTTACATGCGTAGTATATTGAAAAAGTGCTTGAAAGGTTCAACATGGGTAAGGCCAAAACGGTGAGTTCTCCTCTAGGTACTCATTTCAAGCTAAGTGCAAAGCCAAGCCCTTTTACAGATGGTCAGAAGGAGGAAATGAAAAGAGTTCCTTATGCTTCAGCCGTAGGAAGCTTGATGTATGCAATGGTGTGTACGAGACCAGATTTAGCTTATGCAGCTGGGGTTGTCAACAGATTTTTGTCAAATCCAAGGAAAGAGCATTGGGATGCAGTGAAGTCTTTATGAAGTATCTTCAAGGCACTTCCAAGTTAAGACTTGATTTTGGAAGTGGTAAACCAATTTTGGTTGGCTACACAAATGCTAACATGTCTGGAGATATGGATTCTCATAAGTCTACTTTTGGTTATATGGTTACTTTTGCTGGTGGAGCCATTTCTTGGTAGTCAAGATTACAAAAGTGTGTTCACTTTCTATGACAAAAGCATAATTTATTGCGATAACGGAACCTTGCAAGGAGTTGCTATGGATGAAGAAGTTCATGAGAGAGCTTGGTTTTAAGCAAAAATGGTATGTTTTGTTTTGCGACAACTGAAGTGTTATTCATCTTGTGAAGAATTCTACATTCCATTCGAGATGTAAACATATTGATGTAAAATATCATTTGATAAGGGATACTCTTTCCGATAGTTGCCTGTTTGAACTTGAGAAAATCCATACAAATGACAATTGCTTAGATATGTTGACAAAAGGCTTTAGCAAGGGAGAAAATTAAAGTTTGTCGCACTATCATTGGTATGGTCCATTTCCCCAAATAGTCAGGAAAGTGGGAGATTTGTTGGGCTTGGGTTTCCCTCACGTGGAGGATGGCCAAAAAAAAATGAAAAAAAAAACAAAAAAGAAGAAGCAGCTTGTGTTCGTTGACTTTTGAGTGTGTGAATAGTGAGAATTTAGGGTACTGTTCACATAAATATAAATCTGCAAAAGTGAGAGAGAGGTAGCTGCACAGGTTATTCTAGCGACAATCCAACTGTGAATCTTGCTCTGTTTTTGTTCAAATTTCAAAGCGTTGTTGTTGGCGACAAGATTTTCACATCCAACTATCAGTTTCGTGATAGCCGTTATTTTTGTAGAGTTTTACCTCTAGAAAGACAGTCAAATCAAAGAGTTTGAGTTGCAGAATTTTGGTCCGTCTATCCTTCTTCAACTTGATGATCAGAAGGTCATCTCTAGTCTGATCAAACTGAGTTTTGGTCAAAACGTAGAGGACATTTGGCTCTTCAATCTGGACTGTTGATTTTTTATTTTAATGTTTGAGTATGGAATTATACAGACTGCAATTTTGGTGCTTTGCTGGCATATTTACTCAAGATTTTGCTTCTTACAAATTCATTCAAGTAGGAAATATTTTGTTACTGCATTATTTCCTTTCACAGTCACCGCATCTATCTTAATGCCATCATCGCTTCACCATCGTTCCTTTATTTTGACCAAAAGATGAAGAAGATGAAGATGGGAGGAGTGGAGATGAGAAGAAGATGGGAGTAGGGTTTTTTGTTTTACAGAGGAGATAAGGTGACCTAATTACCCTTGAAAATTTTTTAATTTATCATCTTATCTTTCTTTTGTTAAACTTAACTGACAAATATTAACGAAAAGTGGGTAATTGTCTTTGAGTAATGTTATGTGCACTAACCAATTTGTACTAATCCAAGTAGTAACAGTTGAAATTTTGAATTTTTTTTTTTTTTTTTTTTAGTTTTTTGGGGGAACTGACGTGGCAATAAGAGAGGTCTGCCACGTCAATTAGTACTTGAGTTGTATGGTTTTTGGTTAGTACACATACCATTATTCATTATCCTTTTGAAACTTTTAAGGTAGTAAATTTTCTTTAGGGCAAACTTTGGGTGGGAGGATGTCATTGGGCCTCTTTGTAATAACTTTATATGTCAAATCGAGGTGTATATTGAGTTTATAAGATAGCATTATTTACAAATTTACCCCTTATAAACATGTGAAATTACAAGTTTCCATTATACTACGTCACTTTTTTTGGGAAAAAAGTTTACCAAATAAAGCATACATACGAATTTTACTCAAACTTCTTACTTTGCAAAATACTTTTGGCTTGATAATACTTAAGCTGATTCCTAAATTGTAGCGTAAGAATTGCCGCCTTCTAAATTTCATCAATTTAAAGCTCTTTTCACCCATGATCAAAGGGTTGTGGTTATAATACAACAACGTAAAAGTGTATATTATAAATTTTACATTCTAGAGTTGCAAGTTTTATTTCATAAATTTATAAGTTTCACGTTAGCTTATTGTTAGAGTGTTGTACCGAAGCAAAACCCAAAATTAGGGGGTGTTTGTCTGAGCTTATGAAAATTAGCTTATAAGCAACAAGTGTTTATAAACTAATTTTAGTTTATAAGCATTTGAAATTTTAAATAATTACATGTTTGATTAAAGTACTTATAAGGGACTGATAAGTAGTTAACGTGTTTGGTAAAATGTGGCTTATAAGTACATTTTATTATAAAATAACTAAAAATGGTACTACATTAAACAAGGATATAATATAGAATTTTAAAATTAAATAAGGATAATGTGGTAATATACTTGGTCAAACTAAAAAAAAAAAGAGTACCTCCCTCCCAACTTTTTTTTTTTTTTTTTTNTCATTCTGTTTCTCAGATTCACTGGAATCAATCCCACAAAATGTGTTGGATCTTTAGCCATTGCGGTTATAGCATTCAACATAACTGCGGACACTGCCTCAAAACGTGTTGGACGATCCACTGAGTCTGCGATTTTACCAATCTCTTCTTTTAGAGCGGCTATCTTAGTAGCTTCAAATGTAAACCTCTTTGATATAACGTTTGCGTCCGTCGATGCATATTGACCTTGGAAAAGACTACTCTTCCTTAATTCTACTAAATCTTGCGGAGGGAAGAAAGAAGTGCTATCAAATATCACATTCTTGATTTCCTCATTGATATTGGGATTAGCAAGCTTAGCCCAGTTTTTAACGAAGTTTGCCGCGGCTGTTGCATCAGCAATCCTATGGTTAAACCCAACTGCAATTGCAACGCCGCCGCAGGCAAAGTAATTGACCTGCACACTCAGATTGACGGGATCACCAACTATCTTTTGATGAGCTTTGTATGGTAGCAGCTGCGTGATCACATCCTTTTCCGGTTGTTTAAGGATGTCAGACATCTGGCTGCTGACTTTGGCTTCAATGAAGAGGGCGCCTTTATCGTTACAGCTAACAGTATAATCATCTTTCACGCGTCCTGCTAAAGGGTAGTAGAGGGTGAGTATTTCCGCGAGGGAGATCTTGAGGTGGTGAGAAGTTTTGGTGGCATCTTTGCCTGGTGAAGAGTAAAAGAGAATGATGGGGAAGTGAACTTCAGGACATAACTGATCTAGAACAGAAAGCTTATAGTTTCTTAAATGGTCAGGGGTTGGAGAAGATGGTTTGATTGTTTGTGTAGAAATGATTTGGATTTCCATATTGTTGTCTCAAATTGCAAAGCTATTAGCAGATAAGAACAACAATGGGTAAACAGATTTTGGTTGATATTATACAAGCCATGAATGTGCAGTCAATATATAGGATGAAGAAATTCTGAAAAATCTAAACCGTCTTAGTAAAACTCAAATTAATTATCAGCAATCACAACACATGATCATTAAAAAACCTACCACTAGTTAATGCGTCGCTGGATTCTTTGGAAGCACTCTTGTACACCTGCATAAAGCGGCGAAAATGGTGGAAATAATTTCAAGATAAAAATATATTGGAGCCAACGTCGTGGGTGAAAAATTAGTATTTCGTTTTTGTGTTTGTGTTTGTGTTTGTGAACGTGTTAAACAAAGAACCTACCAAGTATTTCATTAAATTATTGAAAAAATAAGGAGATCTTCTGGATTTGTTAAAAACATAGAAATGGTTGACCTTCTGGAATCGCGATCCAAATAATCTGGCACCTGTGAGATTCCAATGGGGTGATCCATGCACGTTGGGAGTAATATCTACGAAATACATCCTGATTAACTTGAAGCTCTTTCTAATGTAAAGCACAAATATTAAACACGTTTGCTAGATGCATGCATTGGCATAGTCTCATCTCTTTCTCTTGTTATTGTTTAGGGAAATGTGTTTGGTTAGGTTAGAATAAATTAGTAGGCATGTTTTATTAACATGTTTGGTTGGGAGATAAGTTGGTGGGTACATTATAAATATTACTAAATTACCCTCCTTTTAGTATACTAATATAATATTATTTTTTGAATCATTTTATTTAACCTCCTACATTTGAAATTTTGTTAAAACATCCCAGCTTATATAAAATTTTAATTTGTAACAAAGTCACCCCCACCCATCGCCACCGCCAGATCGCCACCGCTGGTTGCTGGCGGTGGCGGCTAGATCTTGTCACCACCCTTGGATAATTTTTTTAAAGTACAAGGGTATTTATGTCCTAAAAAAATTTATATATAAGGATAAAATAGTCCATGAATATATTTGTAAATTAATTTCAAAATAAGGGTATTTTTGTCCAAAAATTTTATTACTAAGGAGACGTTTGGATCATATAATAATTTATTATAAGAGGATGTTATATTAACGGAAAGATAGATCACCTTGAAGATTACTAGAAATATTTAGAAAATGTGTTTGGTTGGTTCAAATAAATTAGTGAATAATATGTTTGGTTGGGAAGATAAATGGGTGGGTAAGTTGTATAGATTACTATATTGCCCTCCTTTTGAAATATTGATGTATTATTATTTTTTTAATAATTTCTTTTAACCCTCTACATTTGAAATTTTGCTAAATCACCCCAACCATATAAAACTTTAATTTATAGCAAAATCACCCCCACCAACCCCAAGTCATTGCCGGCAGCCTGCCACTACTATCGGCCACCGTCGACAGTCGATGGAATGGCGCACGATTGGCTGTATATGGTCAACCGTGTGCCAGCAAAGCCATTTCTGGCGATAGATCACAAATTCATGGCCGCTTCATGGCAAGATCTATGGCTATTTCATGGCCAAATCTGGCTAGAAAAGGCCTCACCAGCGCACGACTAGCCAAGTCTCACTGGTCGTACACCATTATAGCGATTAACGCCGGCGGTCGGCGATAGTGAGTAATGGCCGGCAGTGGTCTTGGGTGGCTTTGGGTATTTTGTTAACTTTTAAACTTTTTTGTGGTTAGAGTGTTTTAGCTAATTTCTTAAATATAGGAGGGCTAGGTAATTGTTATTTGGTAAACATGTGAGGGCAATTGTGTCCAAAATGATATTTAACTAAGGGAAAAATAGGTATAAAAATAAAATTACCCGGTAATCTTTTAATCCTAGGGGTGGGAGAAGGTATCGGATTACCCCCTACATTGCCAACAATAAACATTATTTGCAATAAAAGATTCCCGTAATATATTACTTGCAAACCAAACACCAGAATATTGCAAAATAAACGAAGATTACCCCCATTATTTTATTTGTCACTGACCCAAACGCACCATAAAGGGTAAAATTCTAACAAAATTAAGATTACTTACCAAGTAATTTTAAAATACTTAAGAAAATAGAGATAATCAAATTACCTCCTATATTACCAACAGTACTTACTATTAGTTTGGAAGATTACCGGAATCTTATATTACTTGACAACCAAACGTGATAATCAAGTAATATAATATGACATTACCTCAGTAATCCCCCATTACGCCCAACCAAATACACCTTAAATAATATCCAATTACCAAGGGTGGATCCATAAATTTCTGTTGGAGTGGGCCAAAATAAAAACTAATTGCACATTAATAATTTTTCCCATTAATATTTCTATTAGAGTGGGCTAAAATCTAAAAATTGTACATATTAATATTTATTTTTTAAAATTTGAGGACGGGCCATGCCAATTACCTTAGGGTCACCTACCACATTTGTGGCTTACCTGAAATATTGGATTTATTAGGTGTTCAATAGACTTTGGAGATGAGTTGAGATGTGCGCAAGTAGACCCAATACTTTGATTATCAAAAAAAAAAAAAAAAAAAAAAAAAAAGAAAGAGAGGTTTTTGGTTTGTTTTATTAGACATATATATATATATATATATATAATGAGTTTTTGGAATATTATTAGTTAAGGTACAATTTTTTTCTTTATTAAATGGCAAACAAGAGGATAAAAATTTCAAATCATTTAGTTAACGAAATATATAAGTAACGTGATTTCTTAAACTTTAGGGGAAGATTAATTAAAAACATTAAACTTATCATCCGCCTCACAATTTTTAAAATTTTAGGGGTAGTTAATGATTTCCTCTCGAATTATATTATAAAAATAGTAACCGATCTATGTGGCATCTGACTCGGACATGCCACGTAAGACACAACACAAGTATTCAATGAATGAACAGCCGTCCAATAATTATGGACGACCGTTCATCACAAACAGATGAGAGTCCAGAAAATATCAATGGACTCCCGTCCATATATTATGGACAGGGGTCCCTTTACTATGGATAATGGTTCATATAATTTTAGATGAAATATTCATTTTTTAAGCACAAATTTTTTAGATAAAATAAAAGGAAAAAAAAAAAAAAAAAACCTTTGATTTGAAGTAAAAGTGTGGACGTCAGTCCATCTTAATATGGACGACCATCCAAATGAGTGGACTAGCGTCCATTCTCAAATAATTTTTTTTTTTTAATTTTCAAATTTTTTTTTTTGTTTCATTTATAAACAAAATGCAATGTAAGAGAGAAATAAAACATGTTTTTTAAAACTTGCTTTGGGAGGCCTAAATTTTTAAACATTCTAATTGAAAATTTTAAAGAAATTTTTTTATTAAACTAAAATTTGGGTATGGACGGCGGTCCATCTTACATAGACAGCTGTCCATATAAGATGGATGTCTGTCCATTATTTGTTTTTAAACTTTTCTGGACGGGCGTCCATATATGAATGAGAATCCATTGATATTGTCGTGGACGATCGTCCATTTGTGATGAACGGTAGTCCATAACGTATGGACGATCTTCCGTGTAAGATGGACGGTCGTTCATTCACAGAATTAGTATTTTCTTTCCAACGTGACCGCGTCTTAGTGGATGTCACGTTGTTCGGTAAAAAATTTCAGTGCACAAATTCGGTGTCCGTAGCATTATTGTAGCCAAAAACCATTGTTTCTCATTTCCTAAAGACTATTTATTAATGCATTGTGCGATTATACTCTGCCTAAAGTCCGGTTAAAGACATTATAAATAGTGTTTAATGAGTTCTATGGTATTAACACTTCTATAGAATAAAATGTTTCATCATTAAAAATCTGGATAGCCTAGCATGGCGATTTATGCAAGTTTGATTCTGGATTGATCTTTCCTATGATTTTTCTTAATGTTTAAAAATGTGAAGTGCAAGTGTTTTTAAACACTGGTATGTTTAGATTGCCATGTCTCTGAAAGTGTTTTGGAGTTAGAATGGTAACTTCTTTCTAACAGCTAGCGGGAGGAGTTTAGACATAACAGAGGACACTGCTAATGAAACCCCCGCCAAAGAGAGAGAAACTTCCGAAACAGAAAAGGAACTGGAGCCAATTCCAGACACCATGCTTTCTGAGCGTCGGAAGGCTCTCTTCGAACCACTGGACCCTACAAATGGCCGCCGGTCATCTGCTGAAACCTTGCTACCCCCACCAGACTTTGACGCTTCTTGCTATCCCAAGGGCTGGCTGATTGGAAAGAAGCGGAAGCTTGTAAATGTGGATGTTGTAGAGAGCATGCGACGGGTTGCTGTCCAAGAAATGAATAGAAAGGTACTCTTCAAACACACACATTGCTACTATTGCTTTAAGATTCATAGAATGTATCATCAATTTGACCAATCTTGCAGGACCGGGAAATCAATGGCCTAAACGAGCAACTCGAAGAGGATGCGCGTTGTCTCGAACATCTACAACTCCAGCTTCTGCAAGAGCGGAGCAAACGTGCAGAGGTCGAGAGGGAAAACACAATGCTGCAAGATCAGATAAACATGCTGATGAACATGTTGCAGGAAAACGAGGCAATGGAAGACGAGGGCACAGAGGAACCTTGATCATGATAGTTTGTTTGATTGTATGTCTGTTTGTTTATTCTTTTGTAGAATTGTTTGGTTAAGTATAGAGAGCAAAATCATACATGCATATAATATTCTTAGCTGACAAAAAAAAAAAAAAAAAAACATGGAGTCAAAGATAAATTAGGTCGTCATTGTAGCTTGTTTTGTTGCTGCAGATGCCTTGCTTATGCTTGTTATTGTCTGTAATCGAGTGTCTGGAAGGTATTTTTCTAAATAATGTGCTTGTAATATCAGAAGAATTTTCTATTTATTTGTCATTGGCTCTCCATAAACTGTGTTTGACAGTTCAAAACAAGGTTTACATCAAGGTATAGTATTTCTAAAAATCACTGAAATGAGTAGATTTGATCAAAAAGAACACAGAATGTTTTCCAAGAACAACTGGAATTCGGATTTTCGCTAAAATTTTGCACAATTCATATCCATGGAATCCCAATGAAGGTAAATCCATTAGATCACAGAGAGAAGAGGCAATGTGTTTCGAGAACTGGTGGAAGAAGGATTTTCTGCTAATATTTACAGATGTAATCTAAAGCGTAGTACAAACACTAGGTTCACTTACGAACATGTGAGGAGTCTTCATCAATCTGCATCTCTGAATCCAATACAAGATTGTTAAACAACTCGCAAATGTCATATTCACATACATATAATGAAGACTACCTTTAAGCTCTGTGTAGATGGGGGCTGTGGATGAAGATCACACTATCTTTCTTCATTAGAATCTTCAGAGAAGTTCAACATAACTTGTGGGAGAGATGCGATCCTTGGAAGACTGTGCAGCAGTTCTGCAACTGAGTCTTTCCTCGACATGGCTGGTTGCTGCTTGCGGCCAGAAACATTGCTTGACTCACCCTCTGATGCACCAAAACCTTGTCCAACCTTGTCCAACCTCGCTGAGGGGAATCCTGAGTTGGTTTCAGCTAACTTTGTGACACCATTTATGTCAATACCTATACTACTCTTGTCCTGCAAGTTTTGTGTTGCTGCAGAATCTTTCTGCAGAAGGCAGCAAAGCGAATTGACCCTTGACATTATGGACTTCTCATCAGAGGTTGATGTAAGTTGAGTGTCACTAAACAAGTATTGAGTAATCTCCTCCAGAACGTCTCTTCCTTGTAGGTCATTGCCAAAAATCAAGGAACCACCAGATGTCCTCTGTTCCGAAATGCAATGCCCAATGTGATTCACCAGATCACTCATAGACATAGATGGGTGGAGTCCAGGAACTTTGATCTGGTCCCAATGGCTGAGCATCTTTGGTTCCTCGGCTCCACTGCTACTGATTTCTCCAGTTGCACAAGTATCCATCACTGCAAAAAGATACAACTTAGACCAGAAATAGTTTCAAGATAAATTATCATAGAAGTTAATCCCATAAAAATAGCAAATAGCAAACAGCGATTCAATGGATACATCATACATGCTATCAAAGATCAATTCCCAGGAACTAATTTAGTAATACAAAATATACTGAGGATGAGTCAACCAGAGTAGGAACTCTTTTCAGTCCGCAACAAGAAGAAGACTATGTCCAAGAATACTGATGAGAGCTTGATGTGAAAAGCTAAACAGAGAACCATAGTAATTTGACTATGGGAAATTATCATATAAAAAACAGACATTCAACTTGAAAATGAATACTTTGGTATTTGTTATCATCTATTTCAGCATATTTTGCAATTTCAGGATCATTGTCCTACCTGAGCTAGGTGATCGATTCATGAAATCTTGTGGTTCAACATTAGAAGATGATGACTGAGCACCAGATGGTGATGCCCCATCCAGCAAATCAAATAAAACAGGTCGTTCCTCCCTCTTTAAATGGCTGGAAACATCTGGTTCATCAAAGGCTGGAGCTCTAGGTTCAAAATATGGAGAATCTACTACAATTTCTGGCTGTTGACTCAGGAAATTGAGACGAGGATCACATTGTATGAGCTTTTCAAAGTGCTTCGCAAGAAAGCCTTGTGGGCACATCAGGAAATGCTGCCTATTTAAGTAAAAACAGTGTCATTGCCACATGTTAAAAATTAATTCAAAATAAAGTTTGAATTAAATAAAGAGATGGCAAAAGTAATATACACTTAGACTCGAAACTCATATCTCTACCTGTGAATGCTTGCTTGTCCACCAGTAAAATCTGATGTTGCCTGCCATAAAGTATGCTTCCTGGGTTGTGGATTTGTCTCCCTAAAGAAAAGAGGCTGTCTAGCCAGCTGCATCAAACAAGAACATCCTTCAATCATTAATAACTAAAACGTAAACATAAACATGCTTTTCAGCTTTGCATGAGCCAAAAAGATGACAAAAAATTTCTAATCATTATCTTGTACACCTCGAGCTTATTTAAGGCATTAAACTTGTATTTCTTCTACGAAACGGAAGTCACCATAAGGAACCAGAAGGATAATATATGAACATATAATGGGAACATCCTTAAGTGCCCTGTAATTCTTCCTCTTAAGTCTCATAAATAACTTCAAAAAGAGGAAAACAACACAACAGGTAACTCTTTTAGGCAAGTTTCAGTTCTACAAATTCTCAAAAAAGTTTTACACATGTGAAAGGCAAATTCAGAACAAACCGAATATTTTAGAACTGATTTCCGATGAATTCCGAAATTAATAAGACTTGCACCATTATAGTTATAGTGAGAGTTTCGAGAATTATTCCCCTTTTTTGTACACAAAATTATCAGTGTGAGTGCATATGCATATGCATATAAATACAGCCAAAAGGCATAAAACAACAACAGAAACAAAGTAAAATTACCACGACATCCAAAGTCTCAGGTCCATCATCAGAATAAGTTGCCTTGATCGCCACGATATCTGACCACTGAATTTCAATCTTGTTCTTCAAACCGCCATCAAGCACTTCCCACACTAGCTTATGCTTCGCAAAGTAACATTTCCCCACCAAGTCTCCCTCGTATCTCGACTTATACTGCACAAACCAACATTCAATCGCAAATTTCAACCATCTAAATTAGCTACTGATAATTAATGATCCCCTAGAAGTCCTTAAATTCATTATCACCCAAATACTTTCAAAAACTATAAATAAAAATAAAAAATAAACCTGAAACGTTACTTTTATTAGTTTATTCAATTATACCTCCCAAGTTCCGATCCTGAGAAGCGAAGCTGGAAAATTAGAAGCTTTTAGCTTATCATTCGAAGCTGAAACGACACTTCCTTTACACTTTCGCTTCCTCAAATTTGCGTTTTCTTCCGAAAGCTTCATTTGAATCAAATCCAAAAACGACGGACTCTTCTTAAGATTTAACCCCAACGGACTCGGCTCTTCGAGTGGATTGCACATGGAAGGTGGAAGCGGAAACGGCGACGTGTTAAACTCACATTCCTGAATATAAAAATAAATCAAATTGAATTCCAAATCAAAACATAAAATTTTGAAATTAAAAATTATAAAAGCAAAATTAGGAATTACTTGTTTGAGTTTGGATCGTTTGTGAAGCGGACCGAGCNTTACGACAAAATAGAAATGGAAATTCAAGCGGCTCGAGTAAGATTAAAGGATTAATCTTTTGAATATGCACTTGCTTTTAAATGTAGCTTAAATTTGATTGATTTTTTTTTTTTCTCATTGCAAGGAGTCGTTCGTCCCTTCCTCACCCCTACTAAGGGTGAAGTGAGAGAGGAGTATGTTACATCGTTCACAGACTTCAGATGAGCGATCGCAATTTCCTAGGATGTTGTGGTGGTACATCGAGAAGTGTGTCCATTGAGATTACGACAAAATAGAAATGGAAATTCAAGCGGCTCGAGTAAGATTAAAGGATTAATCTTTTGAATATGCACTTGCTTTTAAATGTAGCTTAAATTTGATTGATTTTTTTTCTCATTGCAGGGAGTCGTTCGTCCCTTCCTCACCCCTACTAAAGGTGAAATGGGAGAGGAGTATGTTACATCGTTCACAGCACTAGATGCTGTAGCAGATGAGGGAATAGACTGCCTAATGTGAGACCTAGAAGGGGTCACGCATGTGAGTGCAGCTGCAGGGCCACTACTTGAGAATGTGTTTGAGGCCGAGGAGGATGAAGCTCCTGTCGACGAGAGGGAGGTTGAGGAGGAGGATAAAGAGGTTCGTATGCCTCTACCCAATTGGCAAACCAGTATAACAAGTACCGATTTTCTAAGGTGTCGAGGTCAGGAGAATGAGGTGGTTGACCTCAAAAACAGTGTGGCGGAGAAAGTTGGTAGGATGGAGGAGGAAGTTGGTAGGGTATTGAAAGTGGTTGAAGTGCAACTTGAGCATAAAAGAGAGAGCTGAAAGAGTAAGCACGTAAAATCTCCTTACATGGTAGTAACGTATGGAAACAAGAGGAAAACAAAGAAAAAAAATGAGGAAGTCCTTGAAAATAGAGAAGCAAAAAATGGAGGAGGGTAACGAGGAAGGTAGAGGAAGTGGGGAAGTGAAAATGGAGGAGGGTGAGGAGGAAGACGGAGGAAGTGGGCAAGTGAAAACGAATGAGTTAAAGGTCGATTTGTATAGGCCAATAGATGAAGAAAAGAAAAAACTTTTCTATGCCTATTACAATGATTCTGGAAGTGATGGACATGTAAAGGGAAAGACCAGGGATTATCCCCGAGAGTGGTTTGAAAAGATGTTGACAATGGGCAGGTGGCTCGACGACTCGGTGAGTTATTTTCCCGTATTTTTGCTTATGTTTCCTAAGAGGTATTGTATACTAAATCGCTTAAGCAATCTTTTTTTTTTTTTTTTTTTTGAGGGGGTCACTTAAGCGATCTCTTAAAACAAAATAGATCGCCTAAAGAAAAACCGTTGATGAGGTATTTGAATAGACACTTATCATGTTGTTTTTAGTTGATGCAATACATTGATGAGGTATTGACACTTATGAGGCTGCGACAGAGCAGTAATAGTGATATTTTGTTTTCTAACTGTGCCATCACCGATGTGGCCTTTGGCCAAAGCCTAGTAACTACATATGACACGTTAATGAAAAAGGCCAATGGTGGAGGTGCAACAAGGGAGGCAAGCAGAAAAGAATGGCCACAGAGGACTTCAATGGTGTCCTTGATGATTTTTGGTTTGATGAGAGGATGATGCAA